AGGCTGCTCCTGGAGATGGGTCTGTGAAGATGTGAGGGAAGGGCTGGTGCCTCTTGTCTGTGAGCCTTGTCTGCCATGTCTTGTAGCTGAGGGCTCTTAGCACAAAGCAGGTATGGACAGCAAAGGGCGAGGCAGCATCAGAATGCATTTGCCTGCCAGGATTTATTTGGAAAGGATTTTGTGTTTAAAGTCTGAATATTGTACATAAGAAATGAAGAGGATTTTTTTGCCTAAATGTGCCCAACTTGTATCGATGGGAGTGTGTGTCTGTTCAGAGAGGGGGTGGGAGGGTGAGGGTTTTGTTCCCTTTCAGCAGTCTGTCAGGTGGGCGTGGGGTATGCTCCTGTTCACCCCATCATTGTTTCAAGTGTTGTGGGCTTTGGTGGGGGAGGGGACCCTGCCCCTACATCTCTGGCAGCTAGGTCAGGACTCTGGCACTGGTTTGGCATTCGGCCCCATTTGGTGAGTAGGACACCTGACCCCTGAGCCTTTGGTAACCTTATTTTTTGTAGTAAGTACCCCATAATTTTTTTTTTCACATTTTATAAGAAGTTTAGGAATATTTTTGCATGGATCATTGTAAACAGAAAATTCCTTATTCCTAATGTTTATTAACATAGTGTGCTTACTGATAAGTACTTTAAATTGCTTCATTAGCACTTAACTCACATGTGTTTGTCAGTGTGTGTGTGTGTGTGTGTGTGTGAACCATTTACTTCAGGCACATGTTTTGTGTCCACTTCTTCAACTCTTTGTTGGTAATTCCATCTGTATAGTAGATGGTTTGTAATAAATATCTGATAGGTTCTAAGGGTTCCAGGGCTGAACTGACCAAGTAAAAGGAAAGTCAGTTTCCCCAGTTTAGTGTAATAGATTAAGAGAAAATACAATTTTAATGTATGCTTTAGTAAAGCCCTAAACATCAAAATGGGTGCACACATGCACATAGACACACACACACACACAAAACTACGTGTAAGGGGGTGGAGTTATTTGAATTGAGGCAAGATAGAAGTTATATAGGATGCTTCATTGGGCTTGCTTGAGACATGGCACACACAGGGTGAGCGTTTTCACAAGCACTGAATTAAATGGTGTTTTTGAGAGCAAGAAGGGTGGGCTGCATTTTGCCCCCTTTTATATCAGCTTCATAAACACTTTCCCCCTTATAATTTTTTTTAATCTTTTTTTCCTTTTATGAAGGTGAGTTTTGGGAGACTTTATCAAATACTTTTGCATTATGGAATACATCTCTGGAAATCTTCAATTTTGAACCTATCAGGGCATCAACTATCAAATATAATGAAAGGTAGATCTTGCCTAGCAGGTAAGAATCTGGACATACGAATAGTAGCAAAACTATCATAGGTTGTAATTTTAACAGCATTTAATTCCAGTAAAATTAATTAAGGAATAGACTTCTGTTATAAATTTGCATAATTTGATATCCCAAGCATAATAATGGAACATTCAGAGAAACTTTGCCTTTCTTTTTGTATGTGACATTCCTAATTTGAGAGTCTTTCGGCTGAATTATGGTTCTTTCAGAAGTGGAGATAGGCAAGTGAAGGACCTAATTCCTCTAAACATGAACGTCATCATGGGTATTAAAAAAAAAAATTGTTCTGCAGCCTCTCTGCTAAGGTTTAGGAGGTCTCTTTGCTTATGGAAATTTTGTTAGGATCTGGGCTAGGTGACTTGAGTGTTTAGTGAAGAGCATTGGTCCCATCAGCTTGCTGCCTCTGTGAAGTGAAGCCAACATCACGGCCAGGGCCATTCATGGTGATAGGGATGGAGGCCGGGCGCTTCCAGAACCTTTTATGTATCGTGTTAAATCTTTTCAGAACATTCTTGTTGGTGTGGTTATTAGGCCAACCAGTTGCTGTTCTGTGACTCTTTTTCTTGAGTGCTATGCAAATGCAGTATTTATAGGACATGAGGGAGGTCTTGAGCCTCCAACCTGGGCACCTGGTTGGCAGGCATCTTGCCCTTCCCACGCTGGGCATACAGTGCGTTGCTCCATCTGGTGGCACCATCACTTCTATAATGAGAGGAAATACATTCTTAAGGCACTTTGGCTATGCTGCTATATGGCACATGGGTTTCTGTGAGTGTGCCTGCCAGCCGGTGGTGAAAGGTGGCACATGCCAGCCACATCAACATTGGGGCCCACTTCCAAAAGGAAATCCAGACTTTTTCAGTTCTTGGAAACAGTTGGAAACAGTATTTCCCTGACCAGTTGGGCCACCTTCTCCCTATCTGGCAATTAATGGCTGGATACCCCATTCATTGCCAACCGACAGGACAGGATGCCTGTCTGACCCCTCAGCAGGCTCATGGGCAGTTTTAAGGCTGAGTGGCTTGAGGGCGGGGGGCAGCTTCCGGTTCTTCTCTCTGGTGCTTTCTAAGGGTGGGTGGGGGTGTCTCTATAGAGGAGTGTGGTTGGCTCAGGGGAAGGGCAGACTGCTTAGCTCCTCTCTAGCACATCTCAAGTGTTTGTGTTTTTTCCCTGAGCTGTTTATTACTCAGCCTGAGCTTTCTGAAGGTGCATCAGACTTTTTTGAACAGACTTGCAGATGACCTGCTGCAGAGGAGGGTCTGATCTTTTTGGGTTGAAAGTTGCAAAGTTGATGTTACATGTTTTAGAGGATTTGTCTCCTCCCCCCACCCCTAGCATGCAGCCCACCCACCCCCCCATTCATTTGAAGAACAGAAAACCCTAGGGATAACCTTATTTGAATCCCCAGGACTAAAGTTCACTTACTTGGGACAGGGAGACAGAGGAGAGGCAGGTGTCTGTTCAGGAAGCCTGCAGAGGGCTTCAGGAGACCCGCACTCCCAGGGCTGGTGTGTTGGAGATGACAGGTGTCTCTCGTTTGGGCCTCCTGAGCCTTGTAAGTATCCCACGGGCCCTTGTGCAGACTAGTGGTCAGTAAAATAGGCTCTGCTGGACTCCTGGCAGGGTTGCTGTGATGGAGGAGAGGCCCCAAGGAGCCACATGGGCTGTGACTGACTAGGAAATGGTTCCTTTTTTTTTTTTTTAATGATTTTTAAATACTGTTTTTTTAGACCGTTCTTTTGGTACTTTTTTTAAGCTTAAGTCAGCGTTGTCTTCCAGTGTTAAAGGCATCTCTCACCTCTGCATTGAACTTACGGTGTCAATCAATACAAAGGAATGGAACATCCATCCTGAGCCAGTTCCATTATGTGTAAATTCATACTATTTTAATTTTTTATGCAATCTGATGAGTAGATGAGCTCAGATTTAAAATTCTTAAAAGCACGTTTATTGTAACAAGAATTGTTATGTATTAATACTGCAGTTTTCAATAAAGATTGACTTGTGTTGCATGTTGTGATTTTTTAAAAAATTTTTTCCCCTGTAGGTTTTATCTCGAGGTGGCATGGCCTGGCTGGGAAGTGGTATAGATTCTTTCAAGTTAGGAAATCCAGGGTTTGGGGACAGAGGACCTTGTGGTGCTCAGCCCCGGTGACCTTGTGTGGCACCGACATCTCAGTGTGTAAGGGTGTGTGGAGGCAGCAGGTTGTGGGGACTCTTTCCCCCGGGGGAAGGGGAGGGAAGCTGGCCCTGTTCCTCTTCTGGTCCTGTGGCCTGGCTCATCCTGGGAGGACGCATTCTCCATTTCGCTGAGGAGGATGCTAAGATTCAGAAAGATTGCAGACTTCCTGTTCCCCAAATTGACATTTGCCAACTTCAGCTAAACATCGAACTCGGGGAGCAGCCAGGGAAGCTTCCAGGCCTGAATAGGTTGGAGGAGCCACACCAGGACAGCTCCCAGGCCACACATTGTCCTCCCAGCTCCTTCTGAGCTTCTGAAATACTTCCCCCATCACCTTTGCTTCTGTCCACCAAAGCTCTGAGGGCATGGTCTGCAGCTAAGTGAGCTCCCGCCACACTGGGTGATGCTGGACTCTTCCTTTCTGTTGAAGGAATGGAAGGCCCAGGGCAGAGACAGGTATAAGAGGTACAGGAAGGATGGGGCATGCAAAGAAGAAAATACACAGACACAAATGGAAAAACAAGGGCTGGCAGCCAGGTTATTTTTCATAAGTTTCTTTATGAAATTAAATGTGGTTTCTGGCTTGGAGAAGGTATAGTGCAAGAGTGACTGACTGTACATGCTGCTGAATTCCCGTGGGCCAGAGGGGCAGCTCAGTGTTCCACACCCACAAGCCAGGTCCCGGCTCTACTCATGGGGAACCCTTCTCAGTGGGACGTGGGCTTCCCTCTAACTCACATGTCCACCGGCCTCTGGGTTGGTGGGTCAGTCCTTGATGCTGGGCCACAGAATTCAGTCCTTATGGCTTCTCACGCTCACTTAGGGTAAGGCAATCTTTCTGTGTCACTGATAACAATTCTTTTTCCCCATTGTTAGAAAAACAGCACAATCCAAACAAAAAAACCGGGACCAGGTTCTGGAGTCAACCCACAACTGCATGTGGGCTGGTCACAGACCCTGTCGGAAGTATTCAGTGACTATGGTTTTGTTTTCTTTTCCACTATAAACAAACACATCACAAGTGAGGAAGGGTGTCCAGCAGCCAGGAGTGCCTAGAGGGGCTGGGAGGCAAAAATGAGTTGGCTCTGGGCCAGACATTTTTGTGCAGAGAATTCTGGTTCCCAACCTCCAGGGATGCAAGTTGCCTGGCACCACCAGCTGGGGACTGGGAGCCTGAGGGACAATTGGAGGGCAGAGGGGCACAGAGCCCAACTTTGCAGGGGCTAAAGGCAGATGGTCCCCTGCCCAGAGGAAACAGGAGGAGGGATGATCAGATGTCCAGAGAAGAGGGTTCAGAGCGGCCAGTCTTCTACACACTGGCCTGGCCAGTGGCTCCCAGGAGGACCCATAGAGATCCAGAGGGTGGCAGGAGGCTCACCGCTGTGGGCCCCTGCCCCTCCAGCTGGTGTCTTCAGTGCACCAGTAGTGGGGAGGAATCCACGAATGGGGCACCGAGCAGCTCCCTCGCTCAGTCCGTAACTTTCAGTGTGCGTGACCAGCAGAGGAGGCCACATGCGGTGAGCCTCGGGGAGAAAAAGCTGGAGGCCCACTGGCAGGGCAGGTCCAGACAGTGCTGTCGGATGGGGAGCTGGTTCACTTGCGGAAGGGTGTCAGCCGGCTAATGCTGTGCCAGAAGGTGGACGGCTTCCGCTTGGGCTCTGCCAGTACCAAGACCTGTTGCTGGGGCAGGCTGGCGGGCAGTGCTGGGTGCTTCTGGCGTGCCAGGTAGTAGGGCCGGCTGAGGGCTGGGCAGAGGAAAGCAGGGATCATAGGTGCCTAGGGAGCCAGGTGGCACAGGGCATAGCGGCAGCCTCTGTTCGGGAGGGGGGTGGGATAGGGCCTGTCCCACGGGAGGGAACTGCCTTCCTATGGGGCCCACCACACCTAGTGGACTGGGCCACCTGCTAGCCTGCAGAGATGGTGTGGGGCCCTGGAGCTCCTCCATGGAACAGGCTGCATGCCAGGCATTTAACATCTCTGTAGGAATGGGGATATGAGCTCCTTGCCAGGTGACTGAAAAGGCCTCCCAGAAATCCTGCCTGGGGAGGTGCACTTCCACTAATCCTCCTGCTCTGGGGTACCCAAGGGAATTGAGAGCAAAATCAACTGCACACTGATGAAAGCTTTGTTACCAGCGGCCTCAACACCAATCTTTGGGAACAATTACCTGCAAAGGGCAGTGGGCAGCAGGTGGGCCCCAGGAGCTAGCTGCCTTTGGGGGGTCAGAGAAGAGTTTGATCATGGCTAGGGCCAGGCTGCTATGGAAGGCAGCAGGGAACCGTCTGCTTACCTTTGGGCTTCCCAGTGGCCTGCTGCTTGCTGGCATTCAGCATGGCCTGCTTTCTCTGCAGCTCGGTGATGGAGAAGCCTGGGAGGGAGGGCCACAAATGAGACCTCTGCTTACCTTGAGGAGTTGGCTGCCTTTTCTCCTCCCCCACCTCCCCAGCCAATATTCCTCTTGCCCTGTGTCTCCTGGCATCTGTGTGGTCCTCTGTGTACCCTGCACCTCCCACAGGACCTGGGATCCCATCATGCTGCAGATGTTCGGCATCCTGCTCAGCCAGCCTGCCTTGACCAACCAGGCAGAGGAGATGTGCAAGGGCCCTCCCCACATCCTTGCTCTATCCCATCTCTCACCCTGACCCAACCCCTGATGTATCTAGCATCTAGTGTCCTTTCTCTGCACTGTGGCTTTCCCAGACCAAGAGCCAATCTGGTCACTCTTGAGCATGATGCCGAGGGGCCCATGGAGAGGAGAAGAATGCAGTGGGAAGGTGCCTTGCTTATGTTAGGGTGGGGGAGGCTTCTCACAGCCAGTGCCTAAATCCTACTTGAATGCTTTGTGTTGGAAAGAGGCTTCACTGGGTCTCTGCAACTGAGCAGAGGGCCCCCACCTTAGGAAGTGTGCATGCATATGTGAGTGTTCTGGAAGCAAACCCCCAATAGGCCAGGAGACCCATGCCCTGGGGCTGAAATGAAGAGGTGCCCTGGAGCCTTGCCAAAACCTGAGGTCCTTAGGCGGTGGGACATGCTGTCTCAAGTCTCAAGGTTCTCCTGACCTTGTGTTCAGGGGTTAGGAGGGCTGGGTGGGCCCTCACATTGGAGCAAGGCTGATGGCGTCTCGCACCTGTCTCCTGGTCCAGCCGCACCTGCTCCCTCTCCCTGGCGAAGGCCTTGAGCCAGCGCTGCTTCTGCTCAGGCTTCCTGGCACACAGCAGGTGACTCTCTCCTGTGGTGCCGCATAGCAGCCGGAAAGCATTCTTGACACTCACGTGGAGATCTCTGTCTTTTCCATCCTCCAGATCCACCACCTCCAGTCTGTCCATATCCACTCGGCCCTTATAGTACAGCACATCCCGGCGGAGAAGGTCCTGCCAGAGACTCTGTGAGCTCCTGGCCAATCCTGCTTGTCGGGTCCCTCCCAGGCCTCTGAACCACTCTCCTGACCATGTTTTCACCCCACACCCTGCAATTGGAAGGGCCAGTGAGCTGCTCACCCACTTTCCCAGCAGATGGTGGGTTCATGAGGGCAGAGTGAGTGTGGTGTGGCCCACAGCTGTGTGCTGAAGCCATGATGCAGGAGCCTCACTCCTTCAGTGAAGGAGCTGGCCTTCAGTTACTGACTGGCCTGGAGGGTCTTTAGGGTACCCATAGTCTCATGGGGAGGCAGCCATGGAAACAGTGGCCCAGGGCCCACCCTGCATGATAGAGAAGAGTACCAGGCCTACCAGGCTGGGCCCAGGGCCAGGAGCCAGGCAGGCTCCCTTGACAGAGCCACCTGGGCCATGTGTTGAGAGGAGTAGAAGCTACAGCAAAGAAGCAGTGGGAGCAAGGACCCCAGGGCTCAGGGGGAGCTGAGGTTTGCAGGGACAGGAGAGGTGGCTTTAGAAGCAAGCAGGGGCTAGGTCAAGCAGGAAGGTATTCTCAACAACACTGGGCCCTGGTCAGACCACCATGGTCCTTGGGCTATTTGGCTCCCTCTGCAGAGAATCACCCTCAAAGGGCCTGTTCCACTGAAGGTCCCCAGGAAAAGGAGCCACCTGTGTGTGGCTCCTTTTCTTTGGCAGTTACTCCCAGTCCTCGGCTTCACCCACTCTACTCCTGCTCTAAATGGCTCATCCAGCAGGGCACAGCAATTCTGGTACCTTCTTGCAGTAGATGAGCTGATGGTCAAAGAGAAAAAACATCCTCTGCTGGCTCTTGGCTTGTGGCTGTGTAACACGAGTCAGCTCCCCAGAGTAGATGAGTTCTGAGCTCCTGACCAGGAGATCTTCCCCCTGGGATACCCCAAGGAGAGCCGTGAGCTGAGTGCACCCAACATTGGAAGCCCTCTCCACTGGGCACTGCCTCCTGCCTCCATCATGGGGTTGGGCGGGCTCCCCACTGGCCTGGCCTGCTTGTGGCCCCCACTGGCAAGTAGTAAGCAGCAGGCCACTGAGGGAGGGGTTGCTCTTGAAGCTCAAGGAAGTGGTGGAGGCTGTTGGGTGGGGGGGTAGTGAAAAGGTCATCTGACCTACAAGTTGGTTGTCTGCAAAATGGGGCCACGAGGCAGCCAGTGGCATGTGCACTTGAAATGTGGCCAATCCCTGCTGAGATGTTATGTAAGTAAAATAACACCAAATTTGAAGACTAACTAAAATAAAGAATGTGAAATATTTCACTAATGATTTTATGTTCAGTACACACTGAAATGATACGTTGGATATTCTGAGTTAAATAAAACATTATTAAAATTAATTTCACTTCCAGGACAAACAAAAACTAAAAGAATTTGTGAACACGAAACCAGCCCTACAGAAATATTGAAACGGGGTCCTCTAAGCGAGGAAAGAGCTAAAAGTAACATAGACCAGAAAGGAACAGAGACAATATACAGTAACAGTCACCTTACAGGCAATATGATGGCACTAAATCCATATCTTTCAATAGTTACTCTGAATGTAACAGGGTATCATATTGGATAAAAAAAAACAAGACCCATCGATATGCTGTCTGCAAGAGACATTTTAGACCCAAAGACACCTCCAGATTGAAAGTAAGGGGGTAGAAAACCATTTACCATGCTAATGGATACCAAAAGAAAGCTGGGGTGGCAATCCTTATATCAGACAAATTAGATTTTAAACCAAAAACTATAATAAGAGATGAGGAAGACACGACATCATACTTAAAGGGTCTATCCAACAAGAAGATCTAACAATTTTAAATATCTATGCCCCTAGGTGCGCCTGGGTGGCTCAGTTGTTGGGCATCTGCCTTCGGCTTGGGTCATGGTCCCAGGGTCCTGGGATCCAGCCCCGCATTGGGCTCCCTGCTCCTCGGGAGGCCTGCTTCTCCCTCTCCCACTCCCCCTGTTTGTGTTCTCTCTCTCTCTGTGTCTGTCACTGTCAAATAAAGAAATAAAATCTTTTTAAAAAAAGAGAAAATAAATAAATAAATAAATAAATAAATAAATAAATAAATAAATATCCATGCCCCTAACATGGGAGCAGCCAATTATATAAACCAATTAATAACAAAATCAAAGAAACACATCGACAACAATACAATAATATAGGGGACTCTAACACCCACCCCTCACTGAAATGGACACATCATCTAAGCCAAATATCAACAAGGAAATAAAAGCTTGAAATGATACACTGGACCAGACGGACTTCACAGATATATACAGAACATTCCATCCCAAAGCAACAGAATACACATTCTTCTCTAGAGCACATGGAACATTCTCCAGAATAGATCCCATCCTGGGTCACAAATCAGGTCTCAACTGGTACCAAAAGTTTGGGATCATTCCCAGCCTATTTTCGGACCACAATGCTTTGAAACTAGAACTCAACCACAAGAGGAAAGTTGGAAAGAACTCAAATACATGGAGGCTAAAGAGCATCCTACTAAAGAATGAATGAGTCAACCAGGAAATTAAAGAAGAATTACAAAAATTCACGGAAACCAATAAAAATGAAAACACAACTGTTCAAAATCTTTGGGATGCAGCAAAGGTGGTCCTAAGAGGAAAGTATATAGCAATACAAGCCTTTCTCAAGAAACAAGAAAGGTCTCAAATACACAACCTAAGACCTACACCTAAAGGAGCTGGAGAAAGAACAGCAAATAAAGCCTAAACCCAGCAGGAGAAGAGAAATAATAAAGATCAAAGCAGAAATCAATGAAATAGAAACCAAAAGAACAGTAGAATAGATCAACAAAACTAGGAGCTGGTTTTTTGAAAGAATTAATAAGATTGATAAACCCCTGGCCAGACTTATCAAAAAGAAAAGAGAAACGACCCAAATAAATAAAATCATGAATGAAAGGGGAGAGATCACAACCAACACCAAAGAAATACAAACAATGATAAGAACCTATTATGAGCAACTATATGCCAGCAAATTAGATAATCTGGGAAGAAATGGATGCATTCCTAGAGATGTATCAACTACCAAAACTGAACCAGGAAGAAATAGAAAACCTGAACAGACCTATAACCACTAAGGAAATTGAGGCAGTTATCAAAAATCTCCCAATAAAAAAGAGCCCAGGGCCAGATGGCTTCCCAGGGGAGTTCTACCAAACATTTCAAGAAGAATTAATACCTATTCTTCTGAAAGTGTTCCAAAAAATAGAAATGGAAGGAAAACTTCCAAACTCTTTTTTTGAGGCCAGCATTGCCTTGATCCCCAAATCAGACAAAGACCCCATCAAAAAGGAGAACTACAGACCAATATCCCTGATGAACATGGATGCAAAAATTCTCACCAAAACACTAGCCAATAGGATCCAACAGTACATTAAAAGGATTATTCACCACGACCAAGTGGGATTTATTCCTGGGCTGCAAGGCTGGTTCAACATCTGCAAATTAATCAGTGTGATACAATACATTAATAAAAGAAAGAACAAGAACCATATGATCATCTCAATAGACGCAGAAAAAGCATTTGACAAAGTACAGCATCCTTTCTTGATTAAGACTCTTCACAGTGTAGGGATAGAGGGTACATACCTCAATATCATAAAAGCCATCTATGAAAAACCTACAGCAAATATCGTTCTCAATGGGGAAAAACTGAGAACTTTCCCCTAAGGTCAGGAACACGACAGGGTTGTCCACTATCACCACTGCTGTTCAACATAATACTAGAAGTCCTAGCCTCAGCAATTAGACAACAAAAAGAAGTAAAAGGCATCCTAATCAGCAAAGAAGAAGTCAAACTCTCTTTTTGCAGATATGATACTTTATGTGGCAAACCCAAAAGACTACACCCCAAAACTGCTAGAACTCATACAGGAATTCAGTCAAGTGGCAGGATATAAAATCAATGCAGAGAAATCAGTGGCATTCCTATACACCAACAACAAGACAGAAGAAAGAGAAATTAAGGAGTCGATCCCATTTACAACTGCGCCCAAAACTGTAAAATACCTAGGAATAAACCTAACCAAAGAGGCAAAGGATCTGCACACAGAAAACTACAGAATACTCATGAAAGAAATTGAGGAAGACACAAAGAAGTGGAAAAACATTCCATGCTCATGGATTGGAAGAATAAATATTGTGAAGATGTCTATGCTACCTAGAGCAATCTACACATTTAATGCAATCCCTATCAAAATACCATCAGCATTTTTCACAGAGTTGGAACAAATAATCCTAAAATTTGTATGGAACCAGAAAAGACCCCGAATAGCCAGAGGAATACTGAAAAAGAAAAGAAAAGCTGGTGGCATCACAATTCCGGACTTCCAGCTCTATTACAAAGCTGTAATCATCAAGACAGTATGGTACTGGCACAAAAACAGACACATAGATCAGTGGAACAGAACAGAGAGCCCAGAAATGGACCCTCAACCCAATGATCAACTAATCTTCAACAAAGCAGGAAAGACTATCCAATGGAAAAAGTCTCTTCAACAAATGGTATGGGGAAAATTGGACAGCCACATGCAGAAGAATGAAACTGGACCATTTCCTTACACCACCCACAAAAATAGACTCAAAATGGTTGAAAGACCTAAATGTGAGACAGGAATCCATCAAAATCCTTGAGGAGAACACAGGCAGCAACCTCTTCGACCTCAGCCACAGCAACTTCTTCCTAGAAACATCGCCAAAGGCAAGGGAAACAAGGGCAAAAACGAACTATTGGGACTTCATCAAGATAAAAAGCTTTTGGGGTGCCTGGGTGGCTCAGTCATTGGGCGTCTGCCTTCGGCTTGGGTCATGATCCCAGGGTCCTGGGATCGAGTCCCACATCGGGCTCCCTCCTCGGAGGGAAGCCTGCTCTCCCTCTCCCACTCCCGCTGCTTGTGTTTCTGCTCTTGCTATTTCTGTCTCTGTCAAATAAATAAATAAATAAATAATTCTTAAAGTAAAAAAAAAAAGATAAAAAGCTTTTGCACAACAACAACAACAAAAAAAACAGTCAACAAAACCAAAAGACAACGGACAGAATGGGAGAAGATATTTGCAAATGACATATCAGATAAAGCACTAGTATCCAAGATCTACAAAGAACTTATCAAACTGAACACCCAAAGAACAAATAATCCAATCAAGAAATGGGCAGAAGACATGAACAGACATTTCTGCAAAGAAGACATCCAAATGGCCAACAGACACATGAAAAAGTGCTCAATATCACTCGGCAGCAGGGAAATCCAAATCAAAACCTCAGTGAGATACCACCTCACACCAGTCAGAATGGGAAAAATGAAAAAAAATCAGGAAATGATAGATGTTGGCAAGGATGTGGAGAAAGGGGAACCCTCCTTCACTGTTGGTGGGAATGCAAGCTGGTGCAGCCACTCTGGAAAACAGTATGGAGGTTCCTCAAAAAGTTAAAAATAGAGCTACCCTATGACCCAGCAATTGCACTACTAGGTATTTACCCCAAAGATACAAATGTAGTGATCCGAAGGGGCACCTGCACCCCAATGTTTATAGCAGCAATGTCCACAATAGCCAAGCTATGGAAAGAGCCTAGATGTCCATCAACAGATGAATGGATAAAGAAGCTGTGGTATATATATATGTATATATCATATATACACACACACACACACACAATGGAATATTATGCAGCCATCACAAAAAAAGAAATCTTGCCATTTGCAACAATGTGGATGGAACTTAGAGGGTATTATGCTAAGCGAAGTAAGTCTATCAGAGAAAGACAATTATCATATGATCTCACTGATATGTGGAATTTGAGAAACAAGGCAGAGGATCATAGGGGAAGGGAGGGAAAAATGAAACAAGATGAACCAGAGAGGGAGACAAACCATATGAGACTCTTAATCTCAGGAAACAAACTGAGAGCTGCTGAAGTGGTGGGGGGCGGGAGGGATGGGGTGGCTGGGTGATAGACATTGGGGAGGGTATGTGCTATGGTGAGCACTGTGAATTGTGTAAGACTGATGAATCACAGACCTATACCCCTGAAACAAATAATACATTATATGTTAATAAAAATATATATTAAAAAAATTACTGAGCAGAAAAAAAAATTAATTTCACTTGCTTTTTTTTCTGTTTTAAGATGGCCTTTAGAACATATACACTTACTTATGTGACTCCCATGATATTTCGTTCAGTGCTGCGCTCAAGAATAGTTAGACCTGGCTAGAAGTCACCTGGGAACCTTGTCTTTTAGGGGCTAAGGAAGTTTTCTCAGCTAAATGTAGTTAGTACTTGAAGCCCCATCATTAGACTTCAAACTTTCAGGCTAAGCCCTGCCCCCTCCCGGTTCCTCCTGGGAAATGCAAACTTCAGCCAGGAGTTTTTGGCAGCTGTTCAGTTTGGGATAAGTGAATTAAGTAGGGGTTCTTAGCCACGTCTGGGCCTCAGAACCAAGCACCGGGAAAATAAAAAACCCTAAACAAAACAAAGACCACATTGCTCAGCCCCACTACCAGGGATTCTAATTTCCTAGTTCTAGGATGAGGCCCAAGAATCTGTATTTTCATAATATTTATGGCTAGTGGGTGGAGGTGAGAGAACAGAACAGGAAATGTCCCTGTTAGTTCAGGCCTCCGGCGGCTTTAGAAGGCAAGACTGGCAGATACAAGGGGTATGTGCAAGCCAGAAGAATGGAACCAGGAGGCTCTGACCCATGGCAATCCGTTTTTGGTCGTGCTATGGCAGGCCTGAACCCTTCTGTTGGGAGGAGTCCCAATATTTACTAAAACTGGGGGCTGGCCTGTCCTCCTGCTGCGCTGGCCGGCCGCACCAGGAGCGACATCTTATCTCACACATGCTCTACACTCTCGACCACCATGCCTGCAGCTCAGTGCTCGGGTGGGTTGGCCTGGGCAGAGGACCAGCTTTCTTACCACTAGTGCCTGTTTGCCAGCTCCCAGGAGCACGGCTCCCTGCTTCAGCTCCTTCCTAGATTGTTGAGGGGCAGAGCCCCAGTGGTATTTTGTGGGGTGTGGGACCCTCACCTCCCAGTCCTCTATGGAGCTCTGCCACTGAGCAATCTTGTCAATGTTTTCAAGCCTCCGTTTCCGTTCATTGATGAGCTGGGCCACGTTCTTCATGGCATGTAGGGCTGCTTCCACGTCCTTGAAATCCCTGGGGCAGAAGACAGATGGAAGAAGGCCGCACTACGGAGAGCAGAGAGGGGCCCCCTGTGGAGCTGCTTCCCTCTGGGGCTCTGCCCTTGGCCAGTTCTTCACTTGTCAACGCACACCTGGCTGGGCACAGCAGAACCGAATACCCCATTTTTGTCTTGTCCCCTCCTTGCAGCAACAGCATGCGACAGTGGGGCCTGTTTGACTGTGGGCTGCCAGCCAGAGCCTACAGCAGTGGCCACCCACGGCCAGTAGGCGACACCCCGGCTGGCCCCCAGGGCGGAAGAGCCTGGAGCCGCCCTTGCTCCCCCGCGGCCTCCTACCTGTGCTGGGGGTGTGTGTACTTGAGCAGCTCGGCCAGCTGCAGAGGGTACTTGCAGATCTTCTGCACGGGGGTCAGCAGGAAGCCGTCCAGTGAGATGTCGATCATCTTCTGTAGCAGCCGGCAGGCCTCAAAGAAGTACACGTACTTGCTGAGCTTGGCGAGCCGGGACAGCTCCACACAGGCGTTGGGGTGGTTGTTGCAGTACTCTGAGTAGATCTGGAAATCCGCTTGCTGGGGGCACAGCTGGAGGTTAGCATGGGGAGCCCCTGCCCCTCAGGCCACCCAGGCGACTCAGGCACAGCATCGGGAGGGAGCAGGAGCGAGCCTCTGCATTTCCTTCAGGAGCTGGGCTCGGAGGGCCCAGGCTCTGTCTACCCACTTCACTGGGCGCAAACTATGTGGAATTAGGCACAGGGATGTGAGAGACCTGAAAACTCAGGCCTGTGTGTGCCCTGTCGCCACCTAGCTTTCTCAGCAGGGCCCTCAGCAGAGATTCTGACCGTATGTCTTGTTTTTTGGATGAAATCAATGATGCTAATAAGGAAGCATTATAAGGCCAAAAACCAGAGAGACAAGGAAAGAGAGAGAGGAGAGGAGAGAGAGGGAGAGAGGGGGAGTGGCAGGGAGAAAGAGAGGGAGAGAAGGAGTGAAGGAGAAAGAGAAGGAAAGGGAAACAGGGAAAGAGAGGGAGAGGGAGAGAGAGGGAGAGGAGAAAGAGATTAAGAGACATTAAATGGATGCCAGGGTCTATGGCTATGTCCCCTGGATTGTTCTCCTCAGCCCAGTGTCTTGCTTCTCCTTCACAAAACTCTTTCATATCTGAAAGACAGCCACTGCCACTTTGTTCAACACAATGTGACAGATATATCCACATTGTGTGTGTATCATACAGGAGACTCACAGTGCCTTTTTTTTTTTAAGTTCCATCTACCTAGAGCCAGAGAAAGACTGGGTGTGCCCTATAGGGACTAGGACTTCATGGACTTAGGTGGGAAAGGAGGGTAACAGCAGTTGGCTGGCTGGCGGGTTGGGGGGGGGCACACAAGGGAATTTTGATAAAAAGTGACTCCCCCCCCCCTTCCTGCCCCCATCACAGCTCTGCCTGCTGAATAACTGGCTGCAAATCCCATACTCACTCAGGTGCTCTGACCCACCCCCAGTTCCTGCTCGGAGAGTCTAAGGTCTCCCTTTCCAGTTCTCCTCCTGCCACTGGAGTGGGGGGCCAGGGCCCTTCCAACACCAGGAAGGAACCCACACTGTCCTTCATGGGCCGCATCCTCGGCTCAACCGCACGTGACTGCCACAGGAGAGGGATAGTAACAAGTGCCTTTCTTACCAAGCAAGGCCAGAAGGAGTCCATCTAGCCCAGACCAGGCCCATGAACCTTGGCTAAATTTCAACTGGCATTTAGCGTGGAAGTTAAGCACTGTACATTCCACAAATTCCAGTTTTCTCAGTGTGTGAGGAAGCCGAGAACCTGTTAGGAACAGCTCTGAGGATGCTCAACAGGTAGCCCAGCCCAACTCTGTCTTCTACTTACTCTAGCCCAAGCAAAGCTTTTCAGGCAGATGCCCAGGCACCCCTGCTCCAAGGAGCCTTCTCTGGCTTGGTCAGCCTCCCAAACAAGGAGAGACACTGCTAAAACCGTGTGGGAGCGTGAGGGCAAGGTGGGCAGTAGGGGTGTGGGGCCTGGAAGCTTCTGGGCAAAGAGCAGCAGGTTGCCTGGGCTTTAGCCAGCAGGGTCGACTTTGGAGGGGAGGCAGGCACAGGAGGCAAGGGCGAAGGGTGGCTTTGTGCTGGGGCCAGGGGGACTGTGTGTGTAGCCAGGCGCGGACCCCCAGCAGAGATGGGCAGGGTAGGAGGCCCGCGGACCGGGGAGACAGGGTGCGTGGGTCCTGGGCAGCGGGGTGTCTGCGGCAGGGCGTGCTCACGTGCTCCAGGAAGCAGGCGCCCAGCTCGCTCAGGTGGGGGCGCTCCCTATTGAACCTCTGCTCCAGCGCCTTCACAAACGCCTTCTGGCACCGGTAGATGTCCTCGATGTTCCCGAAGATGGTGCGCAGCTGCTCCTCGCTGAACATGTCGGCGCGCTTGCGACACTGCCTGATGTAGCCCTGCGGCCCGCGGCCCGTCAGGTCTCTCTCCGGACACCCCCGTCCCCCACACCACCATCCGCACCCCCCGCCGGGCCTCACCTCGCAGATGTCGCGCAGGTGCTTGATGTAGTCCCGCTCGGTGCTGAGGATCTCGTTGATGACGTTGGTCCGCATCTGGTCCTTGCTGCTCTGCGCCTCGGCCCCTCCATCCGCGGCTCCGCCGTCCCCGGTCCGCAAGGCCTCGTCGTCGGCGGGCTCGTCCTGGTTCACCCGCAGCTGCAGGCAGCGCGCGGCTGGTCAGCGCCCCTCAGGTCAGCCCCCGCCGAAGCTCAGCGCCCCGCGACCGGCACGCGGCGGCAGCGGGGAACGGAGGCTCGGAGGACGTGTAGACCGGGCAGCCCCTTTCCCCCAGCACCCGAGACTGCGCCTGCCCCTCTGAAGGCACGGCTCCTCCTTGTCTCCCTTCTCCTCTCGCTCCTGGGCTGATTCTGAACTCAGTGCTGGGAGCGGAGCAGATGCTCTCTTGGGGTTCGGACCCAGTGCCTGCTCACACGGGGCCGGCCCTCTAGGGGCTGTGACAGAAGAGGATGGGTGACAGGGCCTTTCTGGCTCCTCTCTGACCTGTAAATAGGACAGGCTAGAGGTGGAGAGTGGGCAGTTTATCCACAGGGTTTGGGGCAGCAGAAGCAACGAACCCCAAGGTCTGGGATATCTCCTCCCCACTGCCCTCTGCCTGGCCTTTGAGAAAGCACCATGATTCCTTCCTAGGAGACCAAAGGCTGCCACAGGTAGGCTCTGGGTCCCCTTCCCGTGAGCTCTTGTGCTAATGACTTAACTTGTCCATGCCTCAGTTTTCCCAGGTGTAAGGGGCTGTTCCCAGCTCCCAGGGCATTGTGAAAGTTATAATTGAGATGCCCGTCCAAATTTTCTGCATGGGGTTTAGTAAATGCCCAGTGCTGAGTTGTTTGTGGTGATGGAATTCTAACAGGCAGATTCCCCCTGGAGGAATGCACACACCATCATTTCTGACCCGTTCCTTTCTGGACACTGAGGGCACCCTGGAGGGAGGGGTGGGAGCAGGCAGGAGTTGGTGATGGCTCTGCAGGAGGAGGAAGGCTGTGTCACAACTATGGCTGGCCTTCTGGACACCTCGCTCCCCATCTCCAACCCACAGTCTTGCAGTCCCAGCACAGCCCTGAGGGTGGGGGCAGGCGGGGGGCGGGGGGATGTCCATGCCCAGCACCTCAGACCCCAGAGCAGTTTCAGGTCTGCACGTCTGAGCAGAGCCACTTGGCTCCTAATGGGCACAGGAGAAGCACACAGGCTGGTGCCATACCCGCACAAAGCTGGCTGGAAACCAGCCCTCGCCGTCAGCAACACGACCCCACCACCACTCTCTGTTGGTGGCATCCATTACTTCGATGACATCCCCAGCTTTGAAGCCCAGTTCCTGGTCATCCATGGTGACATGGTCCCAGAGTGCTTCAGCACAGACCACACTGCCATCACTGATGAGCTGTGGAGAGAGCCACAGATAGCAGATCAGTGGGGAAGGCTGTCATGGACCTCCTCATGGGTCAGGGTGCTCTGCCCTCTGCCCTCCATCCCTCAGCAGCCCTGCAAAGAGGGGATCCTGACTCATGTTACAGAGGAGTGAACAGAGGCTCCTTCTGAGCCCGTCACTCTTCAGGGGACAGGACTATGCCCTGGGCATGTCTAGACTGGCAGGGCTCGTGATGAAGCCTGAAGTGAACTTGAGCACTAGAATCCTGGTGAGCCACAGAATCTGAGAGGCAAGTGTGTTGCTCACTCCCCTGCACAGGGCACACCTTCCTCCCACCCCACTGGACCAGTGAGTCACTTACTACTCTCAGCTTCATTTACCATCTCTGCTCTGCTCTGGGAGGCTGGGGCTGAGCACAGCAGGCTGCATTTCTTCTGTGCTAGCTACCCCGTTAGGTTCTCCCAATGTGGCACTGGAGGGGACCACAAGGCCAGAGGGAGAAGGGGCTTACTCCCTCCCACTGGCTTTCTGTGGACTTGCATTACCTGTGAGGTCACCTGGCAAGCACCAGCGCCACTCCTCCTAGGTATGGGGTGGGGTGGGGTGGGGGGGGCGCCCATCCATCACAGTAGCTAGACCTGGTTTGCCGTGTTTTTCTGAACACTTGCGGAACCAGTCTCATGGCCCTCCCCCACCACCCCAACCTGCACTAGCTGAGCAGCACCTAGCCTCAGACTTCTAGGTCCCAAGGCCCACAGGATCCTCAGCTTTAATTATTCCAACCTCTTTACTTTATTCCCTAGCTCTAGGAGAGGTAGGTACATCTTGCAGCTGCTATCTCTGTAATAGATACCTCAGGATTGTTCTTGTGCACTTGGTTATGGGGTCAGGCACTTTATATCTGGCTCACAAGTCTTTATAGTAATTTCTCTCTGCTGAAATAATTTGGTGTGTTTCCTTCCTCCCACATGGTCATGAACCTTACATCAGAAGGGATGCTCCCCTGCCCTGAGGGGCAGGGAGATAGGACTCCCTCCCTCCCCCATACCCCAGGCAGCCCTTGTGCTTAGAGCTCCATTTGCTGTTGGGCTGATGCCTGCTTTCCTGTAATGTGGGCTCAGTTTCTGCTCTATGAATAATGAATGGCTCTGGGGCTTAGGACAAGAGGAGGGGTTGGTTGGGGGCTATACAAGATGTGAGATCCAGGGGCACCTGGGTGGCTCAGTCGTTAAGCGTCTGCCTTTGGCTCAGGTCATGATCCCAGGGTCCTGGGATCGAGTCCCGCATCAGGCTCCCTGCTCAGCGGGAAGCCCGCTTCTCCCTCTCCCACTCCCCCTGCTTGTGTTCCCTCTCTAGCTGTGTCTCTCTCTGTCAAATAAATAAATAAATCTTTAAAAAAAAAAAAGAGGTGAGATCCACGTCTGCTGGGACCAAGTGTTGGCTCTGCAGGGTGGCTCTTTGGCAGTCAAGGCCTCAGAGCATCAACCAGTCAGGCCCTTTGCAACCAACTATTTCCTCCTCTGAACTGCTTGCCTCTGCTCCCACTCGTGCGTGTGAATCCTTCCTTGGTTTCAGGTCCAGTGGGGCCTTCTCTGGGTACTCCCAGCACAGTGTGTGTGCTGTTCCTCAGACTGAAATAGGAACCAGAACAGGGCTGCAACAGGACTGTCTGGATCTCCTGCTGAGAGTTCCAGTAGCTAAGGGGTCTCCCCCAGGCCCTGAATGGGCAGGGTGAAAGGTGGGGTAGGCCACCTGGATACCAGAGCCCACTCAGGCTGGAACCTTCCTCCAGGGTAGGGCCTGAGCAAGCACATTCAGAAACCTCCAGTTCGTGTTTTCTGGGGATGAAACCTGCTTTAAACACTGATGAAACCACTCCTCCGAATGATCTACAGCCGATGTGTATACCTATTCTCCCATGCAAAGCCATTCAGGGTCTGCAGGTTCCTGGTGCCCACCCAGGGGCCCTGGACACCAAGCAGTGGGTTATTCCTGGGGGGCTGCATGCCTCCTCAAGGGACCGTTGAACTCAGCCCAGCTAAAAAGACCTACTACAGGCATGTCCTCTTCTGCAGGAAGGCCTGGCCCCCAGGATCAAGACCTCCTGTCTGCAATCCAAACAAAATGAGGCAAGAGGACTCAGAGAGGCCACATGAAGGTGCCTGCTATACCTAGGGAGCAGGCACTAGATTAGGCACGCTCCACACAAGCAGGCTACCACCTCTAGCCTTGGAGGATCTTGCCTGAAGACAAGGAAGAAGCAGACTACTCAAGGGTGGGGTGGGTGAGCCATGTGGGCTGCAGGTGAATGTCCTCTTTCAGGGACAGTGATCACAGGTGAGCAGATACATCAGGACAGAAGATGTGTGTGACCAAGGGTGAGTGTGAGCATAAGGACAGAGGGTGTGTATGACCTCAGGCAAGTGTGTGCATCACAATGGAGGGAATGTGTGACTACAGGCTATCTGGGTAGTTTTGATCCTTGAGAGGTGCATGTCCTGAGACTCCCTCTTCCTGCACAAACCCCGACATGCACCTGCCAACACACATTTATACACTCGCTACGGGGATGCTACACTCTGATCACCTGAGAACAGTATGCCACACTGCAGGTGAATGCCGTCCACCCTCAGTTCACACCAGCTGCACATGCAGGTCTCCAGGACAGCGTGGAAGCTGCCTTTCACTGTTGGAGCCCAGGCAGGGAGGACGTAATGCAGACATACTCCACACAGCCCCGCTTCCCGCCATTTCCCTGCCCAGGTCGTTCCCTACTAATATTATCCAGATCAGGTGTCTCCTCCTAACCCCGGGTTCTCTCAAATGAGCCCTGAGCAAAGCCCCTCTTGTATGGGCCAGTGCCTCCTCCCGCCGCTTTCCTCTGCCAGCCTTGCAGAGAGCGGGGATCCTACACAGGTGGTTTCCTCTATAGCTGCAGAGGTAGGGCTTCCCAGAGAGACCATGGTTCCTGACACCTTTATGGACAAGCCCCGACACCTGCCTTGTCCAGTCAGCCATAAGCCCTTTTTGGTAGTGGGGGTGGCCACCTTTGTCACTTCCTTGTCCCAGTGCCTTGCTGTGCACAGAAGGTACTCGACAGACATATAGCCATGAGTAATTCCCCCGATCTCCCTGTGCTTTGGTCCCTACTGACGCCCACAGTAACCATGGGCTCTCCCTGGGCCACTAAGCTCCTCTATAGATCTGCAAATGTGAGGCACTCTGTCAAGTTATAGCAATGACATTAACCATTTGTGATGTCACCAAGATAAAATGTAGCTCTAAGAGGTCAGAGAGGCATTCTACCTCCGACAGCCCAGAGGCCACGAGGGCCCACACTGGATGGGTTTCTGGGCAGAGGCCCTTCCTGATGCTCTGTCTGAGGTGCAGCTGCATGGAAGCCCAGATTTAAGTCCAGCAGGCTGAGGGGCAAGGGTTGCAGGCTCTTTCTTGGCCTGGCAGTGGGGAGCAGAAGCTGGTTCTGAGACATGGAATATTTATGTGGAGGCAGTTGGGGAACTGTCCCCATGGAGGGACAGGGGCAGGATCCACTCCTGTACCCCAGAGATTTTGATAGGCTTCAGGAAGCCAGGCCTTGCGTCAGAGTTCCCCCTGATGAGCACCCACTACCTTTCCCACCCTGTCCCATCTCCTGTCTCTCACATATGCAGGATGGTGGAGGATTCCAATCAGATAGTCTGGGAAGGAATGTGGCTCAGCTTCTTTGGGCCCCTGTACAGCAGGGGACAGAGGGTATTCAGAATGCCACCTTCCAGGGGGTGCAGGAGGGGCTCTGCCTGTAGTGGGGGCACGCTGACTGAGACCACTAAGACCTAAAATGGGAAAAGCAACTGCAGATGACATGTGAAGAGGAGCCCACTCATCTTCCCAGACATTTTTCAACCCACACAGAAACGCATGGCCAGTTCCGCTCACACGGCAGTCACATGTACTGTTTCCAGACAACCATAGACAGCCGTGGCCACAGCTGCATCCGCATCCTCAGCTACACAGAGAGACGCGCCATTTTAGACACACGCACGCGCGCGCACACACACACACACACACACACCACGGCACAAAGGACAGATGGAAAGACCCTGTGGCACAAGTGTCATTACGCCCCGAGTCACCTGCGGGGCCGCATCCCCAGGGGGGCGCACACACACAGACCGGGCCTTGGCACATGGGGCTGGCAGGGGAGGCCTCCCCTGGTGGCGTCCGGTGCGGGGTTCACGGGGGCCAGACGGAACCAGCCGCCGCACCTCGGGCCACTGCGGGCTGCGAGCCGCGGCGGGCACCGAGGAGGACGGGGCTGAGAGGGAAGACGCGCGGCGGCCGCAGGAGCCCAGCGCCGGCGCCACTCACCCCTGCGCGGTTTCCCGCGGCGCCCTGCCCGGGCGGTCAGCGGAAGGCCAGCAGGAATATCAGCACGACGTTGATGAGGACCAGGAGCGCCAGCACGCCGAAGACCACCACGCGCTGGGCGCCGGGGGGCAGGTTGCAGCGCAGCAAGGCGCGCAGGGCGCTCCCGGGCGCCGCGGGGCGTCGCCGGGACTGCGGGGCCCTGGCCATGGCGCCCGGCCTCCCGGCTCCGTGCGGCCGAGAGATGCCGCTGCGATAGGGCGGGAGCGGGGCGGCAGGGAGCGCCCGGAGGGGGGCGGAGCCGCCTGCGCTCGCCGGGCCCGGGGCTTCTCCCGCTCAGCCCGCGACGTGCGCGCCGCGTCTCTCAGGTCCCGCAGCCCTATAGCAACGGAGCGGCTGCAGGGGCGGGGGAGCCAGGGCGGGAGGGGTGAGGAGGCTTGGACTTGCGCAGCGCTCTGCCCTGGGCGCTTCCCGGGGTGTGTGTCCGGGGGACCTCAACGCCCCCTCGGCGGTTCTGGCCCACGCTCGGGGCGGGGGTGGGAGGAGGCGCTCGGGGGGGGGGGCGCTGCGGGCCTTCGCAGGTACTGGCGCACCGCGGCCGTGGGGATGGGCCAGCGGTTCTGATTCCTAACACCAAGAGCTGTCTT